GGGGGGGCGATCACAAAGTGGGGGTGCCCTGATTACCCCCCATTTCTTCATTCCCCCCCCCACCAGTGGCCAAGAGGAAATCACTGTTCGATGACAAAGCCGTGGAGATCGAGGAGCTCACCTACATCATCAAACAGGTCTGGGGGGCCGGGGGGCGGTATGGGGGGGGGGTGTATTATGGGATGTTCCTGACCCCCCCCTCCCCGCCCCAAAACCCCTTCCATTGCAGGACATCAACAGCCTGAACAAGCAAATCGCGCAGCTGCAGGAGGTGGTGCGGGCGCGGGGGGGGCAGAACGGGCGCCACGTCCAGACCCACTCCAACACCGTGGTGGTGTCGCTGCAGGTGGGGACATGGAGCAGGGGAGGACATGGGGGGGCACATAGGGACAAATGCATATTCTACATACACCCCCCCCCGGCTCATTCTTCTCCTTCCCTCCTCAGTCTAAACTGGCTTCAATGTCCAATGACTTCAAGTCGGTGCTGGAGGTGCGGACAGAGGTGAGGCACTGACCCCCTTTTTCCTTAGATCCCCCCCTTCTCCTTGGGGCCCCCCCCCTTCTCCTTACATCCCCCTGTTTTCCTCCTATCCCCTTGTTCTTCCATCCCCACCTTTGCCCCCCCCTTTCTTTCCAACCTCTTCTTATCCTGCATTTCCCCCCACCCTCCTGAGTCCCTTTTCCCCCCACTCTTCCCACTTTCCCCCCTTTTCTCCCTCTTTTCTCCCCTTTTCCCTCCCCCATTGCCCCCCAAATTCCTCCTTCCCCCCTTTTCTCCCTCTGACTCCCCCATTGTTCTCCAGTCCCCTCCAGCTGCCTTTTTTTCCCCTCTTTTCCCTCCCCTTTCCCCCAACTCCCCACCTGCCCCCCCTTTTCCTCCCCAACATCCCTCTTTCCCCCCCCTTATCCCCCTCATGACTCCCCCATTGCCTTCCAGTGTTACCCAGCCCCTCTTTGCCCCATTCCCCCCCTTAACCCCCATTTCCCCCCCCAGAACCTGAAGCAGCAGCGCAGCCGCCGCGAGCATTTCTCCCGTGCCCCTGTGTCCGCGTTGCCCCTCGCTGCCGGCAACATGGGTAAGTCCAGGGAGAGGTTGGGGGGCTGGGAGTGGGACATGGGGGTCTTTACCCCCCACACACCCCATGGACCCCCCCATCTCCCCATAGGCAGCTCCGCGGTGCTGCAGGATGAGTCCCCGCGCGCCGGCTCCGTGGCCATTGAGATGGACGCACGGACGAGCCAACAGCTCCAACTGATCGATGAGCAGGTGAGGGCATGGACAATAATGGGTCCTGGTGTCATGGGGGGGACAGTGACGTGTGTATCCCCCCCGAAAATGAGCTTGGAGAATGATGCTCCCGCTGTTGTCCTGCAGGATTCCTACATCCAGAGCCGGGCAGACACGATGCAGAACATCGAATCCACCATCGTGGAGCTGGGCTCCATCTTCCAGCAGTTGGCTCATATGGTGAAGGAGCAAGAGGAGACGATCCAGAGGTGCCAACCCCCGTTTCCCACCTGCTCCGTCCCCATCCATCCTTTCTGTCCATGCCCTCCTTCACTGTGCCCCATCCCATGGCAGGATCGATGCAAGCGTGGAGGACGCGCAGCTGAACGTGGAGGCGGCTCACGGGGAGATCCTCAAGTACTTCCAGTCGGTCACGTCCAACCGGTGGTTGATGATCAAGATCTTCCTCATCCTCATCGTCTTCTTCATCGTCTTTGTTGTTTTCCTGGCCTGAGGATCTTTTTCTTTCCCCTGTCCACCGGTTGGGACAGATGGACTTGATCCGTGCTCTGTGGGGCTCGGACATGGACACTGCTGCGGGGATGGGGTCTGCTGGGACCTGCCCCAGTGCCCCCGAGGACCCCCCCGTTGTCCCCCTCAGGCTGTGGGGGGCACCACCAGCTCCCCACCCTGCAGGTCCCGCAGCCTATGCTGAGGCTGGTCCCTGTTCCCAGCCGGTCATGGTGGCTGCAGACCCCTGCTGGGGGGCCGGGAATGCTGCCACCCCCTGCCCCCAGAGTGGCTGCAGCCCCCTTTTAAAGCTGTGGGGCACCCTGGAGGGGGGCTGTGGACCCCGGTGGGTCCCCTGGGGGGGGGCGGGGCTGAGGGCCTCCATTAAATACCTGGGACCCCCATGGGGAGCTGCAGAACCCCTTAAAACTATGGGACCCTCGCGGGGAGGGCTGTGGACCCCGGTATGGGGTTGAAGACCCTCCCTTAAACTCTTTGGACCCCCTTAAAACTGTGAGACCCCCCTGTGTGGGGGGCTGTGCACCCCAGTAGGGCCCATAGGACCCCCCATTAAACCCCCTGGACCCCCTCTGGGGGGTGCTGCAGTCTCCATTAAAGCTGTGGGACCCCATGGAACTGATGGGGTCCCCCTCCCGAGTTTCCGTGTTCTTCCGTGAGCGGGATTCGAACCTATGACCTCAGGATGGTTTGGGGGGGAGGGTGGTGACTGCGCACGCGTGTAGGGAGGCCGGGAGCTCCGGGCGGAAGTGACGAAGCGGGGGCGTGGCCCGGCGGTGAGGCCGCGGCTGCCGGTGGCGGCGATGGCGGAGGAGGCCAAGGGGGGGTTCAGCGGTGAGCGGCGGGAAGGGGACGGGAACGAGAACGGGAACGGGAACGGGAACGGGAACGAAGGGGAAGGACGCCGGGGGGGGGAGCGGGAGTGGGAGCGGGGCTCTGCAGGCCGCGGGGCTTGGAGGCGGCGCTGGGCCCGGGCTGTGGGCCTGGAACGGGCCGGGAGGGGAATGGGGCCATGGGGGTAAGGGAGAGCGGATGGGGCCAGAGGGGGGAGACGGGAGTCAAGGGGACATAAAGGGGGTGAGGGAACGGAGGTCGGGGATGGGGCCTGGAGAGAGGGGATAGGGGTCGGGGGGAGGAGGTTGGGGTCGGGGAGAGGAGGTTGGGGTCAGGGAGGGGGAATGGGGTCACAGGGGGGAGATGGGCGTCAGGTAAAGGGGGTCTGGGTAAAGGGATCGGGGTTGTGGGGAGGGGAACGGGGCTGGAGGGAGGAGATGGGGAGAGGGGAGTGGGGATCAGGGAGCTGATGGGGAGAGGGGGGCTGGAGAGAGGAAAAGTCGCTTGGAGTGGTCCGGGGGAAGTGATGGGAGTTGGAGGAAGGAGATGGGGGTCCGGGGTAATGGGAGTCACGGAGGGGAGATGGGAGATGGGGGCGGTTCACAGAGGGGATGGGGGTCAGAAGATGGGGCCCTGCAGAGGGGTCCTGGGGGTCCAAGGCTCAGGGCTTCCCCCCCCGAGCGTGGCTCCCGGTGCCCCCGGCAGAGCACGATGACCGGGTGGGCGGGCGCGTGTTCTCGGGCCGGCGGAAGAAGGGCCGGGGCCCGTTCCGGGGCAAGATGTACAGCGAGGTGACCCCGCGGGCGCGGAGCCGCGGCGGCCCCGGCGGGCGCCCGCGCCCCGACGACGACGACGGCGACGTCCCCATGAGCGACGCGCACGACGGCCCCCGCGCCCGATAGTGAGTGCTGAGGGATCCCCCCTTGCTTCCCCGGCTAACCGGGATAACGGGCTTTGCCACGGGTGCCTTGGCTCCACTCTTCCCTGCGTTCCCAGCTTGCCCTATGGGCCCCGGCCCAACCGCACGGCCAACATCCACATCACGGTCCGGAGGGATCTGCCCGCGCCGGAGCGGAGCAGCGGATCCAGCCGGGAAGGGGGGCGCAGGAACTGGTTCAAAATCACGGTGAGTGGGGATGGGGATGGGGGCACCCGGTTTTCCATGGCACAGGAATGGGATGGGGATGGGGGCACCCGGTTTTCCATGGCACAGGAATGGGATGGGGATGGGGGCACCTGGTTTTCCATGGCACAGGAATGGGATGGGGATGGGGGCACCCGGTTTTCCATGGCACAGGAATGGGATGGGGCCAGGGACACCCGGTTTTCCATGGCACAGGAATGGGATGGGGCCAGGGACGCCCGGTTTTCCATGGCGTAGGAATGGGATGGGGCCGGGGCACCTGTTTTTCCATGGCACAGGAATGCGATGAGATCAGGGGCACCCGGTTTTCCATGGCACAGGAATGCGATGGGGATGGGGGCACCTGGTTTTCCATGGCACAGGAATGGGGATGGAGACTGGAATGCTGTTGCAGCAGGGCAAGGGAGCAAATGGTTTTTCCGAAGGCTTGGGGTGAAGGAAAGCAGTCTCGTGTTCCACGAGCAGAGCTTTAGGTGGGATATCGAGAAGAATTTCTACTGGAAATAGGCTGCCAAGGGAAAGGGTTGGGATGCCATCACAGGAGGGATCTAAAAAGTATATAAATTCCTGGAACAGGGACTTAACCCGCAGAAAAGGGGAATGACACCTGGAAAACAGGTTAAATCCATTGGGAATCGCAGCTGAACCAGCTATGGGAGACGTTGCCAATTGAGGCCCAAAAGAATTCCAGGTATTCCTGGAATAAGGATGAGTCATATAACGCAGACATGGTGTTTGTCATGGAATAACCCACTGGAGAGCACCCTTTCCCTTCGGGACAGTGCTGAAACAATCTGGATCATCCCTCCCGCTCGTTGCCAACTGGAATAGCGCGGTTTAGCCCAGTCTTTCCCAGTTTCTCATGGTCTTTCCTTGCTTGCCACTGGGTTCGTGCCTTTTCCAGATCCCCTATGGCAAGAAGTATGACAAGTCCTGGCTGCTGAGCTCCATCCAGAACCTCTGCAGCGTTCCCTTCACCCCCGTCGAGGTGAGGGGGCCGGGGGGGAGCCCTTCCTTCCCGTTTTGGGGGGATTAGGGTGATTTGGAAGCTCAATCCCGACCTTTCCCAGTTCCACTACGACCACAACCGGGCTCAGTTCTACGTGGAGGACGCCACCACCGCCAGCGCCCTCAAGCAGGTCTCCCGCAAGATCACAGACAGGGATAACTACAAGGTGAGAGGCTCCTCCGGGGCTCTGCTTCCCATGGGAATGCTCCCGGGGCACGGAGCCTGCTCCTTCCCTCAGCAGGGGCCCGGTCGCAGCTCTCCGCTGTTGCAGGTGGTGATCGTGATCAACGCCTCGGCACCGCCTCAGTCCCTGCAGAACGAGCTGAAGCCGGAGGAGGTCGAGCAGCTGAAGGTGAGGATGTGGGGAGGGGAAGAGGAAGGGGAAGGGGAAGCACCCGCCTGGTCCTTCCTCTTCACCCTCTTCCTCCCGCTCGCACTGCCCCAGCTGTGCATGAGCAAGAGGTACGATGGCTCCCAGCGAGCTCTGGACCTCAAGAGCCTCCGCGGGGACCCAGGTGAGAGGCACCGGTTACCCTGGGGACACCAGGGATTGGGGCTGTGGGGAGCTGGCTCCCACCCCTCAATTTCCCCCTTTAACCCCTTCAGTTTCCCCCCTAAACCTCTTCACGCCCCAGTTTCCCTCCTGATCCCCCCAATTTCTGCCCTCAGCTCCAACTTCCCCCCATAAAACCCCCAGTTTCTTCTCTGACCCCCTTAATTTCTTTCTTCACCTTCTGATTTCTCCCTTTACTCCCCCAAATTCCCCCCTCACACTGCACAATTTGCTCTCTGATCCCCTCAATTTCCCCCCACGATTTCCCAATTTCCCCCTCTAAAACCCCCAATTTCCACTCGTATCCCCCCCAACTCCCCCCCTGATCCCCTCATTCCCGTCCCCCCCCCAGACCTGGTGGCGCAGAGCATCGACGTGGTGCTGAACCAGCGCAGCTGCATGCTGGTGGTGCTGCGCATCATCGAGGACAACATCCCCGAGGTGAGCCCCTCCTCGGGGAGCCCCCAGTCCATTTCCCCCCCACCACAGTTCCCATTCCCACCCCCCCACATCCCTGTTTGCCCCCCGCAGCTGCAGTCCCTCAACCTGAGCAGTAACAAGCTCTATCGCCTCGATGACCTTTCCGAGCTGGCGCAGAAAGCGGCCGGGCTCAAGATCCTTGACCTCTCTCGCAACGAGGTGGGTGCCCCCCCTCTTTATGTGTGCCCATCCCCCCCTTTATGTGGGGCCCTTCTTTGTGTGCCCCCGTTTTATGTGTCTTTTCCTTTGTGTGCCCCCATGTCCCAAGTGCCCCCCCTCTTTATGTGTGCCCCCTATCTTTATGTGTGCTCCCATCTCCTGTGTGCCCTGCCTTTTATGTGCCCCCATCTCCTGTGTGCCCCCATCTCCTAAGTGCCCCCCCTCGTCTGTGTGCCCCCTATCTTTATGTGTGCCCCCATCTCCTGTGTGCCCTGCCTTTTATGTGCCCCCATGTCCTGTGTGCCCCCATCTCCTACGTGCCCTCCCTTGTCTGTGTGCCCCCATCTTTATGTGTGCTCCCCTTTTTCTGTGCCCGTTTTCCATGTGCTCCCATGCTCTGTGTGGTTCTTCCTTCATGCTTGCCCCCATGTCCTGTGTGTTCCCCTTCTTTACATGTGCATCTCTCTTCTGTGTGCCCCCAATGTTCTGTGTGACCCCCTCTTTATGTGCCTCCCCCTTGATGTGCCTCCACCTCGTCTCTGCCCCCCTTCTGTGTGCCCCTGTCTTTGTGCCCCCTGTCTCCTGTGCACCCCCCTCTTTATGTGTGCCCCCATGTTCTGTGTGCTCTCATCTTCTAAGTGCTCCGCTTTCTCTGTGGGCCCCCCTTCTTTATGTGTGCCCCTACCTTCTGAGTGACCCCTCTCCTGTTTGCCCCCTTTCTGTGTGCCCCTCTCTTTATGTGCCCCCCATCCTCGTGCCCCCCTCACCCCATTCCTGCCCGCCCCATCCCCGCAGCTGAAATCCGAGCGGGAGCTGGACAAGGTGAAGGGGCTGAAGCTGGAGGAGCTGTGGCTGGATGGGAACCCCCTGTGCGACGCCTTCCGGGACCAGTCCTCCTACATCAGGTCAGTGCTAGGCCTGGGGCGGCCCCAGGGGCCCGTGGGCCGCCCCTGCTCCACGGGGGGCACCACGGCAGGACCAGGAGAGGCCGCTTCCACCACCACCCCCCCCCCAGTTCCACTCAGTGGTGCCTGGATCCCCCCCAGTTCCCATCCCGAGGTTCCCCCGGAGCCCCCGGTCGTGGTGCGGAACCGGGGCCGATGCGTTCCAGCTGCTCGGAGCCCTGCTCCCTCCTTCGTGCTTCCTCCTCATTCCCCTGCTTCCCTCCTCATCCTCCC